ATACACATACATATACGTGTGCATAAACATATACAAACATACACACGTACATACATACATGCATACAACCATACCTACATGCATGCATACATGAAGGTATACATACAAACAGACACGCATGTATGCATGCATACATGCGTGCATGCATGCGTGCGCACGCACATACATAGATGCACCTACACACATTCCTAAAAACAAATGCAGACATATACATACATACAGAATTCCATACACATATACATACATACATACATGTCTACAAAACGTAAACATACACGTGCATGCAGACCTGCAGGGATGCATGCATACTTGCATACAGATATACCTGTATACATACAATGCATTCGTGTGTACATATATTCGCACATATTTGCTGACACACACACACACACACATATGCATTCATCTATATATATATATATATAAAAAAAAAAAGACTTAGCCCTGCCCCCCCGGGGAACGCCAGACACTGTTTTTTTATCGTGTCTGGAGCAAGGCACATCTTTCACAGCGGTGAACGATTAGGCGCCCAGGCGCAAGTCGGAGAGACTCCCTTCAGCAAACGCGCACGTGAACGCGGACCGTCAGAAAAAGGTCATCCGAAGCCAAGGAAGGACGAGCAGGAGCGAAGGGGGAGGCGAGGCGAAAAGGGAGAGGGAGGGAAGAGTTGAGCAGACACGTCGACGGTGTGACGTCGATGCGGCGAGACCTCGGGACCTTGGGCACGTCACTGCAGCTTGTTAAAAGCGACCAGAGACTTAGCCCTGCCCCCCCGGGGAACGCCGGACACTGTTTTTATCGTGTCTGGAGCAAGGCACATCTCTCACAGCGGTGAACGATTAGGCGCCCAGGCGGAACTCGGAGAGACTCCCAGACCCATACTGGAAAACACTGGCCCGAAAAAGGCCGAAAGAAAAATCAAGGTTTAAGTCTGCTCCAGAACGTCGAAGTCCTGAGAGATTCGGCCGCCTCGATCATGGTACTGGCGATAGCCTTACAGAGTTGGGACGGATAGGCTGCGGCGATGGCTGTCCAGTGCTTTCCACCTGGAGCTCTGCTCGCAAGTGCCAAGGGACGTGCTATGGGGACGCACCGCGGGACGTGCCAAAGGGACGCGCTACGGAACGTGCCAATGGACGTGCCACGGGACGTGCCAAGGGACGCGCCGCGCGACGTGCCAGGAGAACTCGCCACGGAACGCGCCACGGAACGTGCCAAATTGCAATGCTGAGTGCATCGATCTTGCTGTACCGTGCCCAGGGCTGTGCTGTGCTGCGCCGTGCTGAACTGCGATGTGCCATGCCGCGATTGTGCTCGATTGAACGTTGTGGATCGAGTCCTCCCTGGCATCCGAATCCTGACCGAACTGATCTGGATCTTAAGCTCGAGCTGCCTGAGCAGATGGTAGCTGCCCCAGAACTAATCGACAGGGGAACGTCCCAGGAGGACGCGCCGCGGAACGTCCCAAGGGACGCGCCAGGCGGCGTGCCAGGGGACGTGCCATGGGCACGCACCGCGGGACGTGCCAAAGGGACGCGCTACGGAACGTGCCACGGGACGTGCTGCGGGACGTGCCAGGGGACGCGCCGCGCGACGTGCCAGGGGGAATCGCCACGGAACGCGCCAAGGAACGTGCCAAGGTGCAATGTTGAGTGTATCGATCTTGATGTACCGTGCCGACGGCTGTGCTGTGCTGGGCCGTGCTGAACTGCGATGTGCCATGCCACGATTGTGCTCGATTTAACGTTGTAGATCGAGTCCTGACCGAACTGATCTGGATCTTAAGCTCGAGCTGCCTGAGCAGATGGTAGCTGCCCCAGAACTAATCGACAGAGGGGACATGCCAGGAGGACGCGCCGCGGAACGTCCCAAGGGACGCGCCAGGCGACGTGCCAGGGGACGTGCCATGGGGACGCACCGCGGGACGTGCCAAGGGGACGCGCTACGGAACGTGCCAATGGACGTGCACCGCGCGACGTGCCAGGGGGACTCGCCACGGAATGCTCCGCGGAACGTGCCAGGCAACACGCCAGGCTGTAATGCTAAGGGTATCGATATTGATGTACCGTGCCGAGGGCTGTGCTGTGCCTGGGCGACCTGGACACGTGGAAACACGCGTTCCGCTCAAGACGTTCCCAGCACATCCTCATGCTAGACATCCGCCTGGGCAACCTGGACACGTGCATACAAGCGTCTCGACCGAGACTTCCTCGACACATCCTCATGCTAGACATCCGCCTGAGCGACGAGGACGCGTGAAACCAAGCGTCTCGCTCGAGACATCCTCAACAAATCCTGGCGCTAGACCTCTGCCTGGGCGACCTGTAGGCGTGAAACCAAGCGTCTCGCTCGAGACGTCCTCAAGACCTGGGCACGTGAAAACAAGCATGTCACTTGAGAGATCCTCTGAATTCAGGTCCCTAGGAGAGGACAATCTATAACACAAAACAAGCGTTTCTCTCGAGACATCCTCAACAAATTCTGAAAAAAACAAGCGTTTTGCTCGAGACATCCTCAACTTTTTAATTCGCCGGCCCTAGGCGACCTCGTTACTTATCGCAAAAGAAATTCGCTGGCCCTACAGCCGTCGAAACCGGGGAGAACCTCTAAAAGAGAACCCTGGGCCGGCGCCCTTTCCCAGAAAAAAAAACGAAGCGGAGGGAAGGGCAGTAGGATTGGTTCACGTCCTTTCTGCTCCACTTCGCCCCCCCGATGCAGCAGAGCTCCCAAGAGGCCCAACGCCTGCTCAGAAGCCCGCCCCCCCTTGCGCCGCGCACACGTTCCTTGTTCAGCCGAAGACGGGACCCCTGGGGCCCTGGGGCCCTCTGGGCTTAGTGAAGGGTGCTGTGGAGGCCGTGGGGGACTCCTTGGAAATCCTGGGGGCACCTTGGGCCAGGGGCACTTCTAGCAACACCCGAGCTTCGCCCCCCCGATGCAGCAAAGCTCCCACGAGGCCCAACGCCTGCTCGGAAGCCCGCCCCACCCCCCTCGCGCCGCGCACACGTTGTGCTGAATGTATAGATCTTGATGTACTGTGCCGAGGGCTGTGCTGTGCTGGCCGTGCTGAACTGCGATGTTCCATGCCGCGATTGTGCTCTATATAGCGTTGTGGATCGAGTCATCCCTGGCATCCGAGTCCTGACCGAACTGATCTGGATCTTAAGCTCGAGCTGCCTGAAAAGATGGTAGCTGACATACCAGGAGGACGCGCCGCGGAACGTCCCAAGGGACGCGCCAGGCGGCGTGCCAGGGGACGTGGCATGTGCACGCACCGCGGGACGTGCCAAGGGGACGCGCTACGGAACGTGCCAATGGACGTGCCGCGGGACGTGCCAGGGGACGCGCCGCGCGACGTGCCAGGGGGACTCGCCAAGGAACGCGCCAAAGAACGTGCCAAGATGCAATGTTGAATCTATCGATCTTGATGTACCGTGCCGACGGCTGCGCTGTGCTGGCCGTGCTGAACTGCGATGTGACATGCCGCGATTGTGCTCGATTTTAAGTTGTGGATCGAGTCATCCCTGGCATCCGAGTCCTGACCGAACTGATCTGGATCTTAAGCTCGAGCTGCCTGAGCAGATGGTAGCTGCCCCAGAACTAATCGACAGGGGAACGTCCCAGGAGGACGCGCCGCGGAACGTCCCAAGGGACGCGCCAGGCGACGTGCCAGGAGACGTGCCATGGGCACGCACCGCGGGACGTGCCAAGGGGACGCGCTACGGAACGTGCCACGGGACGTGCACCGCGCGACGTGCCAGGGGGACTCGCCACGGGACGCTCCGCGGAACGTGCCAGGCAACATGCCAAGCTGCAATGCTAAGGGTATCGGTATTGATGTACCGTGCCGAGGGCTGTGCTGTGCCTGGGCGACATGGACACGTGAAAACACGCGTTCCGCTCAAGACGTTCTCAGTACATCCTCACACTAGACATCCGCCTGGGCAACCTGGACACGTGCAAACAAGCGTCTCGATCGAGACTTCCTCGACACATCCTCATGCTAGACATCCGCCTGGGCGACCTGGACACGTGAAAACAAGCCTCTGGTTCGAGAAACCCTCAACAAATCCTCATGCTAGACATCTGTCTGGGCCACCTAGAGGCGTGAAACCAAGCGTCTCGCTCGAGACATCCTCAAGACCTGGGCGCGTGAAAACAAGCATTTCACTTGAGAGATCCTCTGAATTCAGGTCCCCAGGAGAGGACAATATTTAACACAAAACAAGCGTTTCTCTCGAGACATCCTCAACAAATTCTGAAAAACAAGCGTTTCGCTAGGGACATCCTCAAATTTGAATTCGCCGGCCCACCTCGACCTCGATATTTATCGCAAAAGAAATTCGCCGGCCCACCTCAAGTCAAACCCGGAGGTAAACCAACTAAAAGAGAACTCTGGGTTCATGCCCTTTCCGGGAAAGAAATTGGGCGTCACTTAGTGGGGGGTCGATACGCGGGGGGGAGAGAAAGGTCACCTCTCGGGCCCAACAGGGCCTCTTCTTTGCAGCCCTCGCTGTCACCCCCATTCATCGCACCCCCATTACGCGAAGCCCGAAAAGAAAGGGGGCCATGAGATCCAGGAGACTTCGCGGCCTCCAACCACCACATCCACACACCGCTCCGGTCTGAAACTTCTGCTCAGCGTAGGGAGCGTAGGGTATCGCGGCGGCGGCCCTGGCGACACGCTGTGCCCTGCGAGCGGATAGCGAGTCGCTCCGCTTCGCAGCACGGAAGACGGAAGAGGAGGAGGAGGAGAAGGAGGAGGAGGAGGAGGGTGAGGAGGAGGAGGAGGAGGAGGAAGAGGAGGAAGAGGAGGAGGAGGAGAAGGAGGTGAAGGAGGAGGAGGAGGAAGAGGAGGAGGAGGAGGAGGAGGAGGAGGGAGGAGGAGGCTGGGGACTGGGACGTCGTTGGCGTGTCGCGCCGAAGCGGCCGCACAGGCCTACCAGGCAGTTGCCGCGAAAACCTGCCCGCCGAATGCCGCACCGCGCACGCCTCTACAGAGCCTACACCCGCCGCTGTCTGGCCTGGCGGAGGGAGGCGGAGGCGCCTCCTCGTCACTGTCCTCCTCCTCCTCCTCCTCATCCCTCAAGCAACTTGGGCACAAGCATTTTGCGCCCATCCCTCTGGGCTTCCACGCAGCGCTTGAGGGACTAGGCTGGGGTGTTCGCCAAACCACCCGAGCCTCGACGAACACAGAGGGTCAACAGCTTCTCGCCATGGTGAAACTTTGGTCTCGATGCCAGAGCTGTCAGAAGTGCGAGTGGAACAAGAAGTTGCAGAGTGTCGGATGTATATGCAGTGGTTGTGGCAGTGTCGTTTCTCTTTTCAGCCCCAAGAAGAAAGTGCGATTCTTTGATAAAGAGAGCCATGACGACGACTTCTACGATGCGTGCAGTGGCGAGGACTCCAGCTACGAGTTCGAGCCCTTGCCCGTCGGCATCCTCAGAGATGGTGCAAGGTCTCGCAGTGCGTCGCCAGCCCCCAGGAGTGGCAAGGGCGGCAAGGGCGGGACACACCAGGTGAAGTCCTTACTGCAGCAGGCGGTGGCGGCGGCATCGGCGGACCCATCACCCAAGGCGGCGCTGGAGGCGCAGCTGGTGCAGATCTCCACCAAGGAGCAGCAGGGCACGGCGACTAGAGAGTCGCCAGGAGAGACTCTCAAGCGTGCAGAAGGGGCTGTGCGCAACGCGGAGCACCTCCACGAGCAGGCGGTGGGCAGCGTCATCAGGCTCCGCGGCAATCTGGCAGCGGCGGAGCAGAAGGAGCTGAATGCGGCGCGGGTGCTTGCAGAGGCTCTAGCCTCCAAGAGGGCCGCCACATTGGCCCTAGCGAAGGCGGAGGGCCTTTCGACGGAACCCGCGTCGGAGTCGAGTGCGAAGAAGGATCAGTTGTTCACTATTGAGTGGGATGAGAAGTTTTTTAGCGAGGTCGAGACCATGGAGTGCACAGAAGATGAGAGGAAAGCCCTGAAGGGCCTCAAGGCCCACCTAGAAGGGGTGCGCACCTCGTTTTCGGACCGTGAGCAGGAGATCAAGGCGCGGCTCAAGCAGGCCGCGGACTACCAGAAGGCGATCACGGACAGGCTGCAGAAGAAGCGCAAGGGCACCGACGGCACTGCCCAGGCCCCAGCTGCCGCGGCGGGCTCCGAGCCTGCGGCCGCGGCGCCCCGCGACGGCTCTGCTGCCGCTGAGGCGGGGGGGTTTGGAGGCGGGGCCCAGGGTGCTGGCGCCAAGGCCGCCGACGCCGAGACGCAGGCCCAGGCCAGGGAGAACGAGCTTGCTGCCGAGGCGAAGAGGCTCTCGGACGCCAAGTTCGCGGCGAAGATGGAGGCGGCCAAGGCGGCAGGCAAAGGAGTGGCAGCCCCACCTGCAGGGGCCACGACGGCTGCTGCGCGACCACCGAGCGCGCCCCCCTTGGCTCAGTCTGATGGGGGCGCGGAGGAGGAGATGGAGGTATATACTACGTCGTTGTTCTACAGCAACGTCACCTCCATGTCCGACAAGGTCTGGCAGCACGTCGCTCTCAATCGAGATCGGCATCAACATTGGGCATTCGTTGAAACTCATGTCAGTGATGAGTGTGAGCTGCGAGAGTGGCAAGCGAAGGCACGGGGCCTTCACCTCAGAATGCACTCCAATCCTGCTCGTCGCACAGGAAAGGAAGTTTCGGCGCCCAAGGAGGCCGGGTCCAACGAGGGCGGCGAGTTCTTCTACAGTCATGGACACCTTCAGTCGCAGTATTTACCAACAGCGAGAGCAGAGCAGGGGTGCCTTCGCGAATCCGACCAGACGGGATTGGATGGATTATTACCGATGGTGTTGAATGTTACAGGCTACCCGATGGTGGTGCAAGCATCAGGATGGCAGGGCACAATCGTGTTCGCTTCCAACGCCTAGGAGGGCTAGTTGAAACGCATTCTTTACCGTGGACCATTGTGGGCGATTTTAACATGGAGCCAGATGTGTTAGTGAAGTCTTCTTTTGTCCAACGCCTCGGGGCGGTAGTCCGAACCGCTGGCCCCGCAGGCACGTGCGCGCAAAAAGAAGGCCGAGACACGCTTCTGGACTACTGTTTGCGCAGTCCCATTGCCACTTGTTTCTCGAGAAGCGTCCAAGCCGTGAGAGCTGTGCCTTGGAAACCTCATCAGGCCCTGGTCATGCGTTTTCTGAGTTCTGGTCTGTCTCTCCTCACTCGCTCCCTCGAGGCCCCTCCCAGGCTTCCTCAGACCCCGAGGCCTCGCACGGAGCCCACTGCGGGGTCAAAGTCGAACCGTGCGAAGGTTGCTACGGCGGCCGAGAAGCAGGAGGCTTTTGAATCTCGCGTTGTGCAGTTTAGAGACATGTTTGGTGATCGTTTTCAGTCCGCTGGTCCTAACCTCGAGGTGGAGCCTATCGGGAATGGCGCCGCCGAGTGCGCTGATGAATCGCTCGATTGTTGGCCCGACGAGGAGGAGGACCCGTGGGCTGAGGAATTAAACTTCTGTCGGGATGTCCACTTAAGTTCGGCGCTCCCGACCCCATCCCAAGTTGATCTCGCCGTCGTTCTGTCTGGGCAAGCCCGTTTTGAGGGCAGCTGCTCCCAGCAGGTGCCCCCGAGTAGGGATGTGCTTAGCCACAACGTCCCCCCTTCCCCCAATTCGTGCCAGACCCCCGTCAGCAGTGAGGAAAGTATTTATACGAGCTCGGAGGATGATGCCCCTGGCTGTGTTCCTCACCCCGACCCACCGTTCCACGTCCCAGGTGATCTGTGGGAGCGGTGTCGTACAGAAGTGGGGTTCACGTCAGGCGAGCAATATGTCCTGTCTGCTTCCCCTTCTTTGCTTTCCTCCGTAGCCTTTGGGCTCAAGCACACTTCTACCACATCGGGTATGTACGGTGCCTGGGTGGCTACCGTCGAGTCGGCCATTCTGCAGCATCATGACATGGCGGCTCAGAGGCTTTCGCGAGCTTCAGGTCCACAGTTTCGTGTTCATCCAGTGCGTGCAGCACAGAGTAAGAGGGAGGTGGCCATCAATGGTCAGCGTGCTCATTGGTGGGTTCGAGTTCACACTATCTTGCGCGGAGTCGCTCGCCATCGGCACAAGGCCAACGGCCCGAAGCAGTTGCGTCAGTACCTCACCGACGCCAAGAAGTTAGTGGGCGACCGTCCTGAGGGCATTCACAGCATCCTCAGGCCAGGCAAGGACGCGCCGTGGGAAGAGTGGCTCAAGTTGTTGACCGATTGTGAATCTCGTAATGCTGCAGTCCTTGATTATTTTGTATGTGGGGCGAAAAAGATCAGTCAACGAGCCCAACGGTGTGCAGTTCAGGCGTCACTGTTGCGGTTCCGAGAGTGGGTGACTCAGCCTGAGGCCAACGGTGTGTTACACAAGGCGCTCAAGAAACCTGGGCCCCCTCAGATCGGGATACAGCAGGGTGATCAGCATTTCCTTCACCCCAGAGATGTCATTGATGCTAAAGGACGTGTTTTCCAACAGATGTGGGCCCCCCGCCCAGTCGATAGAAGCGAAGTCAAAGAGATAATCCGAACGACTCGAGAGGCGGCGCAGTTCTCAGATCTCCCACCACTGGAACCTGATATGCTCCGCCAGGCAGCTGGCAAAATGAAGGCGAAGGCGGGGCTCGGGATCGATAGGTTGACACCTCTCGATTATCAGCGCCTTCCAGAGGCGGCCATGGGCGAGCTCGCCATCATCCTGAGCGCGGTGGAGAGCACGCTCAGCTGGCCCATCCAGACCATGCTCGTCGTGGGGAAGCTCATCCCCAAGAAGAGCTTGGGGGATCGAGCGATAGGCCTCGTGTCTATGCTTGGCCGCCTCTGGTCGATGGCGAGAGAGCCTGTGGTGCGATCGTGGAGTAAGCAGAGTGCCCAGCATTGGGATGCAGCGGTTGCGGGAAATTCATGTTTGATGGAAGTTTATTTGAGAGCTATCGATGAAGAGCTTGCCCACGAGATGATGATGAAGTATGGCCACGGCATGCTGGACATCAAATCATTTTGCGATAGTATTCCTTGGCCGCTTTTGGTTAAAGCGGCGTTCAGACTGGAGTTTGACCCCATCATTTTGTGCCTTGAATTGCTTCAGTGCATCGCACCGAGGGCCTTGGAGCAAGAGCACGCCATCACGGAGCCTTTTGATCCGTCACAGTCTGTGGTGCAGGGCCTGCGGTGCGGCACTCGTTTCGCAAAGATCATGACACATTACATAATGCAGGTTGTGACAACATCCCATCCTCGAATGGGCCAGCGACTGTGGATCGACGATATATCGTATCGCAAACTATCAAAGGGTCACGTAAGGCAGTTCCGGAAGAGTTAGCACGTTGTATTATCTCCACTTGCCAGGAAATGAGGAAGTGGTCTCTGGAGATTTCGGACAAGTCAGTTGTTTTGTGTACGAGACATAAGGACGCTCAGTTTGTGGCGAGACGTGTTCGGCAGGCTGGTTTCACGGTCAAGCCTGTGTCACAGGCGCCATATCTGGGGATTGATTTTGGGTGCGGACGCCGTGCCCGTGCAGTTCGAGTCCAGCAAGAGAAAAAGCACAAGTTGATGAGCACTAAGAGTCGGCGCTTTGCTCGGGCATCGCGTCAATACGGGGCTATCAAGAAGTTGCAGCGTCAAGGGGGTCTGCCTGCTGGGGTATATGGGCACCAAGTTCATGGCTTATTTGGTACCCAGCTGACCCAGTGCCGCAGGAGGTTGGCACAATCGTGCGCATCAGCGGCCAAAGGGCGGTGTCTGACAACCGTCTTGGCCCTCCGCGCGCCTGATGCCGACCCCGCTGTACTGTATCCTGTGCAGACAATCGATTGCTGGCTCAAAGTTTGGAATACCCATCGTGAGATTCGGAGTGGTGTTCGCAAAGTTTGGGGTCCCCTGGTCACCAAGTTTCAGAAAATGACCGAAGCTGAGCAGTGTCGTGCTATCCGTGGCCCTGTGTCCACGGTGATCCACAGCTTGCTCAGGCTGGGGTGGAACCCAGTAGAAGCCTCAACGTGGAGTTACCAAGCAGGCCCTGGAC